AGGAATATGTTGGATTCCAAAAGAACTGAATTCAGAATCAATATTCTAGTTCAGTGGAACAAAGTTCGCAAAATATGTAAATAATTTCAAAAGAGAAAAATAATTCAAACAAGCAATACACCCAGTTCTTTTTTGCTTAAGTTCTTTTAAGTACGTCAATCATGGCCACTACAGCTGCAGTAATCTTAATTTCAAATCTAAACTTTTTGTGATCGGCATAATTTCACATCTGAAAAACTGAATCGATTTACCAATCTCTGTTTTTCGTTATATTTACAACGGATTAGGATGGATAATCATACTCTCTGAGCAATAGGATTCCAACGATTCCGAAAAATTTTTCATGACCAATCATCAGATTGCATTATATGAGACATAAAGATAATGCAAGATATAACACAAGCGTACAGGCTATGCGAGAGATGTACCTGGAGGAGGTATCAACGATGGTGACAGGGATGCGATCGGGATAAAAGTCAGCAGGGAGGCGAGTAGGAGGAAGAACCCTGGGGACATGCTCAGGGAAGGATTCGGAAGCTGCAGCGGATATGAGGCTGGATTTTCCGGTGCCACGGTCTCCGACGACGACAACTCTGACGCCGCTGCGTCCAGCGGCGGCTGATCCACCAGGCATTGTTATGCTGGGAGATGAAACCGAGAGTGAGAGAGTAGTGAACGAAGTTTGATTCTAGGGGCGGCGGAGTGAGATCGGAGAAAAGAGAAGGAGAGGAACAGAAATCTTGGCACGGTTTGGGTGGTATCGAATAGGGAGAGTATTTGCTGTGACAGAAGCTTGTGGCGTTGGGGGAGGAGGGGAAGCTGCTGTGGGCTGACGTGGCGTCGTGCACCGCAAGTTTGTACTCGCGATTCGCGATCTTTACATCGTGGCCTGACCACCTGGGGAGACGCCCTTCTTCAACTTAAAAACGGAGAATTTGAATTCCTACCCCTTGCCTTATGGGCCCGTATGTTAAGAAGTCAAGTTTCTTACGAAAAGTTTGATAGAAAAAGTGGTTAAAAAAAAGTACTGCTTAAAAAGTATTTAATGTAGAAAATTAATAAATTTTATTAAATTTTTATTAAGGAATTAATTTTTTTAATAATTAATAAAAATTTTAATATAAAAACTAGTAAAAAATTATTAAATAAGTCTTAAAAAGAAAAAATTGAAATTGAAAATTTTTCTTTCAAAAAGTGTTGGACTATTTAATTAAGAGAAATTTATACTGTTTAAATTTTTTTAACTTGCACCTGGCGTTGAGGCCTACTGGCATTTGTCAGTCGGTGCATTTCCTTTTGGACGGGTTCGAATCTTGCTCCTTGCAAAATATGTTCAAAAAACAAAAAAAAAAAAATTTAACTTTTTTTATTTATGTATTGTTCTTAACTTTCTTTAAATTAATTTTTTATTAAATATAAAAAATAATAATTTAATAAAAATTTTAATAAATTTTATTATAAAATTTATCAATATTTTATATAACATTTTTTAATTATTTTTTTAATAAAAACTTTTCTAATAAAATTTTATTCTTTAACCAAATAAACTCAAATGTACAGATTCAAGTCCCTCGACTACTCGTCTCAACAACCTGTCTGGTTAAATAGGAGAAAGTATACTAATATGAAAGGTTCACTGGAAATTTTATCTCAACAAGAGGTGTGCGAGGAAAAATCAACCAAAACACCTTTACAATTTCTTGAAAGGAGGAGAAATGTGGAGAATCTAACCAAGCACGGAAGCACCCATGTATCCAGAGTTTTTTCTCCCTTTTTTCCTTGAACAAATAAAAATTTAGAAAAAAAAAATTTATACCTAACACTTAACACTTAATTTAGATACACTTTTTATAAGAATTTATAATGTATCGGCCTTTTGAGTTTTAACCAGGTGCACCATGTGTGCAGAGTTTACAGTAAGGGTTTCCCAAAAAGTTGATGGCAGGGGCCATGTAACTCATGTGGTAGTCAGTCCGTCAATGCCACCTGAGTATAAAATAGTGAGGTGGCATCAAGCATGGTAAGTAGGTCCCTCATTAATTTTAAGTAAAAATTAAAGAGAAATTATTTTTGTTCGACATTTTTATTTCACTTTTTTATATAAATTAATGTGTCATTTAAATGATTAATTTTTTAAATTCATGTGAGATTTATGATATCAAATATATCAATTTACTTAATGACATATGAAAATTATATAAAAAGGTGATATAAAAAGATTGTCATGTATCACCACCCAAAATTAAATCATGTTTTTCATATGAGTTCTTGGTGACTTTGCACAAGATGATTGGCCAAATAAAGTTTTAATGTTATTATTTTACACTCAAAACATATATTCACTATATTTTAAAATAATTGTTATTTTTTAATTTTAAACTTATTTTAAATTTATTATCATTTTTTATTTTTTAAGATAAAAAATATTTTTTTAATTCAATTCTATCATTAATTATTTATTTTGATTGATTATTCTATGATAAAAAATCTAATTTTACCTTTTAGTTTTTTATAAAGTAATATAGATAAATTTATAAATTATCCTTAAATCCTTCATTTAAAGAAAAAAAATCAAAAAAAGTAATTATTTTAGGATAAAGGGACTAACATAAGATTAATGTTTCTTTAAATAATATTTTAAATTTAAATCTTATGAATAGAAAAAAAAATATTAAGAGAATTCTCGTATTATGGTACTATATGGTTCAATTCGAAATTAATTGAAATATTATTGTAACAAGTTTGTAAATTGTGATGGATTGGGATACCTTTATACTCCTAATTAATATTATTTTTTTGGTTTACAAAAAAAACTTAGTTAAGGTGCAATGCAACTTTTAATTACTAAAAATTTAGTTAAAAAAAAAACATAACATAAAAATAAGTGATTTTTACAATAGTACACCTCTTTTTTTTTTTTTTTTTTTTTTGGGGGGTGGAGGGGGATTGGAATTGGTAAGTTGATTTCAAAGCTCAAAAATCCCCAGAATTGGGTATTACATATATATGCCCAGACATCCCCATGATTCACAACATAACAAAAGCATAAAGAAATAGTTAAACAGCCTTCAAGTCCAGCATGTACTGTACAACTGTGATAACAACTTTAGGTGAAACATTCTTCTGGAAAAACAATTCTACGAGTCCTCTCTTTTTGAATGTAGTAAACTGAAGCAGAAAAAGCAATAGAATATTATAAAGGTTTTCATCTCTTCCTCACATTTTCTCTCTTCTTCCTTCTCTTTTGCAATATGAATTGCCGTCCTCACCACCTTACTTCCTTTTGGCAAACTCAATCAAAGCTCCTTTTGTTCATCCCTCTGCTGGTCCACATATATGTTAGGTTCTTTGATGAATTTTGATGATGCGCTAAAATCATGATTTATTGATATTACATGAACTTCATTTTAAGTATATAGATAAGCTAATTGGAGGGGTTCTAATCTTTCCTCATAATTAGAATTAGAATTTAATAAGTTCCTATTCTGTTTAATTAAACTTCTAGATTCGAATGATTCCACGAAATAGAATTCAGAGTTTTTCCTGAAGTGGTTCAAATCAATATTTTTCGATGTGAATTAAAAGTTCTAGAAATACACTCTTAACAACCCAATGAGTAGCGGTGGCGGCACCCTAGATACGCTGGGAGGGAGGCTTGTAAGTCTCGTCTACCCAAAACGTAGGGCAGTGGTTGCTGTAAGAAAATTGGAAAGAGGAAGGCCGTCCCGTCCGCAAGTACGAGTTCAACCGGATCGTGAGAGAGCTCCGCAAACTCAACCTCCGAGGACTGGTTCTCATAGCTCCATTCGTTCACTCAATTGCCTTTCTTTTGCAAATAGTGTAGTTAATTCCTTCTTCATTCTAGAATTTCTGTTTTTGGTTCAATTGTTTATTGAGAACGGACAGTTGAAGTTGATTGCGCTTGTAATCGTTGTAGCGGAGGTTTTAGGAAGAGGGGTTTATCAGTTTCAAGTCTACCGATTGTGAATTTGTGTGCTTTCAGCCTTTGAGGAAGTGGCTTTACTTCCCTTGGAACTGTACTCGCCTTTCTTTTCCTTTTTTCTGCAATGCAGTCCAGGGTTAATAATTTTATGAAAAAGTTTAGTGCAGTTCTGACTGTACTGAATTGTATTGGATGGGAGTGGACAGTGGACTCCCTGCTATGGGGTCCTATCTCCATATGATGATCAATGTTTTAGTTCGAACCATAAAACAGGTTCCCATAATTTTAAATCTCCCTTTCTTTTTGAGACAATTTGAAATATGAGCTAAAGTTTTGAAATTTTGCCTTGGAGTTTGTTCTGGATTAAAATTTCATATGGGAAACTGGAATGCTGTACGTTGTTTTTATTCGGGTCAATCTGATGGATTGCTAAAGACTAAAGGTGCATTTTTTAAGGTTTTTCTAGGTCAATTGCAATGACAGTTTGAACAAATGTTTCGGTGAATGGAATAAGTGAGGTAACAAATGAAGGAAACAAGTGGAAAATGTACTAGGGTCTTTAGGAATTGTTAAACCCTATTTTTATATAAGCTGTTGTTCTGGCTCTCTATTGGTGGTTGGATTTTATTGACATGTTGCTGTTAAGTTGAAGAATTTTCTCTGAAGGAGCCAACAGCTTAGAGTGCATGATATGGGAAAACTTTTAATCAAACTCTAGTGACCCTCTGTTCCTCATTTGTAAACCATATAGAAAGGTAACTCACGACTTTTTACCTTAAAGAAATATAATGTGACTCCATTCTTAAGCTTGCTAGTTTTGATAAGCTTTTCTATTGTCTCCATTTTAAGGTCAGGTTTTTAGCTTCTTAAATTCCTACTGCTTAGCGTCTATTGTATTGGAAAACTTCAGAACAAATCATCTATTCTCCCTGATGGGAACCCTGGTCTGTTGTTCCTCATTGGTAAAAGGGGGGGGGGGCTTTTGAATAGTGTGACCAAGTTTTCATATATGTTAACAGTTGTAAAGAGTTACATGCGAGGAGTGCTAGTGCTTGTCTCACTCCCTGTAGCTCTGTTTGTATACATGGAAGAAAAGAATGTATACAACAACTATGTGACCATAATTATTTTATATGTCTTGAAAAGTTATGTCCTAAAATCACAAAAAGGTTTAGAAGTGTAACTCTAGTTTGTTTATATGGACAGTTTAGAAGACATTCTATATTCAGAGCTGGAACAGGGGTCCTCAACTTCTGATCACGAAAAGGTTAGGCAGACCTTGATCAAATTTACAATAAGAAAAATCTATTCTCTGGTTAACAAAGGCAAACGACATTGAACTATTTTGCCTGTTTGAGTTGATTCCTTTTGTTCAATAAAAAAGTGTGATGTAAGAACCCCAAGGTTTATTATCTTATTAGTTATTATCTTTTCCTTGAAATTTTTGGAAAGAATGCATCTTTTGCAGCCAACCTTTATTATTTGATTTTTCTATGTAGATTTGTGAATGGATGACACTCCAGCAAGAAATCAAGCTATTGCCTGGTGACTATGCTGTCCACTTGGACTTGACTGCGAAAATTCGTGGCTTAGCTAGTGCAGAAAAAGTTCTTTGAAGACCTTCCTGATCGAATGAGAGATAGACATACTTGCACGGCTCTGCTCCACATGTATGTTCAGTACAAGATGTCTGCCAAAGCAGAGGCTCTTATGGAGAAAATGTCAGAATGTGGTTTCTTAAAGTCTCCTCTTCCTTATAATCACACATGCTATCGCTATACATCTCAAATGGGCAAGTAGAAAAGGTCCCAGGGATGATTCAGGAATTAAAGAAAATATTTCACCTGATGTTTTCACTTATAAGTTAATGTTAGCTGTTTGTGCCACAAAAAAATGACATGGAGACTGCAGATAAAATCTTGTTGATGATGTAGCGCAAAAACCCACAGTTTTCCCTTCAACTTTTTGAGTATGTGGCACTTTACCTCTCATCTTATAATATATGATTTTATGCCTCCTTGTGTTCGAGTTTATGATAATGAGACAATATTTAACGTTGAGGGGTTATGTGTAACATGTGTGCCGTTAATTTCCTTCATACATGTACATGTTAGTGACATGTTAGCGACATGTGAGCCTTTTTTTATATGCTAGTAGTTAAGCTTGGACTACTCATTAGTAGGAACTATACTGCCAAACCATTTAATTGTGGGCTCCACTCTCTGACTTACGAGTTAAAAAAAAAAACAAAAGGAGGAAAGTCAAATGAATGAAAACAAACAAGTTTGACCCCTATCATTTTGATCGAGAAAAAAGATCTTCTTGAAAAACCCCACTGTTAACACTGAAAAATAATTTAAAGGACCCAATCAATTGGAGTCACCAGGATTTCATTAATGGAAGAAGAAAATACAGAGTTTGGGATTCAGTCTCCCTTTTGCTATTCCCTGAGGTCCTTTTTAACCTCTGCCTAGAGATTTTCCTCAAATCCTCATTTAACAAACCTTATCTATAATTTAAATTTAAAATCACAGATAATCTCTAGAAATCACGTAATCCTGATTTTTCTCTAATTTGAAATTACAGTTACAACACTTGCCCCCCATCGAGAAGTCAAAGTAACCGAAGATTTTTTATACCTTCGATTTTCCTCAATGACATTGATTGTATATCTTAATGATGTCATCCAAATCCATCGACTGTCCAAGAAAAATAAAATGTGATGCAGAGGTCTTAAATTCAAATTTAATCCAAGCATTAGTATTTGAATTTTTTATGCAGAGCTTTGGGTTTAATACCTTTGCCTACAGGGGTTTAAAATTTTACCCACAAAGGTATTTAATAACTCTGCATACAGAGATTTTTAAAATCTTTACCTGCAAGGATATTTGATAACTCTGCACACAGAGTTCTTGAATGACTTCACCTCCGAAACTTTACCTGCAATGTTTCTTTTCTTTTTTTTTTTTAACATAGATAACACTCACCACCTAATAAAAATATATCTAATCATAATTAATCACCATTTCAATTTCAAATAGATTATCTTCCACATTGATTCAATCACCAAATTACCTTTCCTTGTCCACCATCCAAACTATTCCTATAAATATATACCCTAATCACGTCACATTCATTTACCTTTTTCCATCCCCCAAGTCGGCAGCAAAGGTCAGTCCTCCTTATTTCTTTTCTTTAACCTTTTTTTTTGTTTGTAGCCGGCACATTTTAGACCTTCTACAATCGTTGGTGACTCCTTACAGGGCAACACACCAACCATAGTGGACAACCGATTTGACTTTGAAGTCACCTCTGAGGGATTATATGTGGCTCCTGGATCCTCTCGGGCAACAAAACGAAAATTCATCCCTCGGCCTCCATTGTTGGGAATTCCACTCATTCATGATTTTCCTACAAAGAAGAAACAAGTCATGGGATCCAAGAAAAGATTTCTCAAAACCGACCCAGTTTCTTGGATTACCAACAGAGCTAGTTCTGAAGAAATTTCCAAATTACTTTGCACAACAGCCATTGAAGCTAGAGCCTACAAAGTGTATCACCCTGGGAAACGCACAGCTTTTCAGACCCCTGCTACTGCTTTGTGTGTCTATTTAGACCAGATTATGTGTGGGCTACGGTTTCCACTGCATCCTTTCATCATCCAGGTTTGTGATGAATTTTGTGTGGGTCTTCCCCAACTCACTCCACACTCAATAACGGTCCTAATTGCCTTCATTGTGAAGTGCCAACTACTAAATGTCCCTTTAAGCATTGAGGCGTTCACCTTCCTGTTTCAGCTCAAACCTCTGGAAGGAACTAGTGCTTGGTACTACATCTGCAGGAGACACTTAGAATTTGAAGGTTTTGAAGGTAGTAGAATTAAATATGACAATTCAGTATTACCTACTTCTCTCCCAACCTTAGGGAAAACCGATTGGCAAGAAAGATTTTTCTTTTTGGAGGGCCCAAAGAATTCTAATTTCCCTGCAGTTTGGAGGAATGGTAGGACGAACACCCCAGAAATTCTCCTTGATGCTGAATCATACCTTGTCATCAACAAACTCCTTAACAACAATTCTATAAAAGCAGAAGTCTTACTTGATGAAGGCAATCTCGTCAGATCTAAAGTTTGGCACCATCACCATGTGCCTTCAACGGTCATTATCCTCAATCTTCCCCTAAACCTTGAGGCTACAAAGAAACCTGAGACTTCCTTTCAAAAAAGCAAAAAAAGGAAAGAAAGCTCTACAAAAGGTATGTCAGAATTCTTTGTTGCTCATTCATCAAATTCTTAAGTCTCAAAAATCATTTCTAATAAGATGTTGTTGCCTATAGGTTCTACCATAATTGCACTTAATTTACTGGATCGTTGTGTGAAAAAAAATAAGAATTCAACTGAGGAAGAAGACTCAATTGCCATGGGGATTCCTAGAGCTCAGGACTGCCCAAACTCTCTAATGAAGCAAATAGAACAATCTTCAGATATCCCTCTTGTTTTCCCAGAGACAGCAACCTACACTATAGAATCTAGTCAGAATCAACAAACCTACAGCACCTTGTCAATATGGGATCGATTACAAAAGCTTCAAGAGACTGACAGAGAGTTATTATCTTCTATCATGGTGTTGGTCACGAGAAAAAATCAAACCGGGAAGTCCATTTCTTCTGAGCTTGATCTTGAGTCAGGTATCTTCAAGTCCTTGAACTCTTTTTAGCTTTCTCCCCCTTCTTTTTTTTTTATACACCCAACAATCCATTCTTCAATGTTTTTAGGATATGATCCGAACATGGGAGGAAGATCAGTGCTCCGAGAAAGCTCATTTGCATACCAGCTATCAAAGAATTTCCTTACAGAGGAGGACAAAAATCACCTGAAAGAACTTACAGCAGAGACACAATGGCATGAAACTAACCATTATCTCGCAAAGGTTTGCAACTTTCTTGTCTTTTTTCTGTCTTCAATGCTCTAGAGACTTTTGTTCGTAAATTAAATTTTCAATTTCTAGGTTATGGTTTACCACCAAACATTAAAAGAAGATTACCTTAAGGATGAGGATGCTAGCTTTTACGTAGAGGAGGAGGCTACAAAGCTCAAGAACTTATTTGGTGATGTTGTCCAAATATGTCTTTGACTTGATGAAGAGAAAAATGCTGCAGTGCAAAGATCTGAGCTCCTATCTGTTGAGCTAGAAAATTTGAAGAAGCTTTTCGCGAACTCACATGAAAATTACCTCTCAATTAAGAAAGAGAAAGACGAAATTGAGAAAGAAATGAAAGCTAACCATTCTGCCCTGGAGGAAGCAAGGAAAACTGTTCAACTTCTTCAAGATGAGAAAGAGGGTTACCTACTTAAATTAGATGAGCTCAAACAATCAGTGACAAAGCTTTCATCTCAAAACGCAAGTTTTCAAGCGTAGATCACCAATACTTCAACTGACACTATCCATAAATTTAAGAAATCAGAAGAAGGTCAAACTTGGGCTTTGAGTGGTTGCATAGATCATTTTCATCTTGCTATATCCATCATAAAAACTCTTATACTTGAACGAGACATGCTAAAGGGTGATCATATTCCAAGTATTCAAGAGCTTAACATTTCTGAGGAAATCAAGCAAGACCCAGGTTTGAAGAAAATGTTTGAGGATGGGGTGAAGAAGATCTCCAAAGAATGTTATTCTGAAAATGAGGGAGAAGAATCTGCGGACCAAAAGTGCGATTCCAGCAACCCTGAACATGAAGATTCTTCTCAAGATGAAGCTTCTAGCTCTTAGTTTTTATATTATTTCTTAGAATAAATTGTTTCCTTGAAAGCTTTTGAACTTTGGCTTTTCATGTTTTGCCAAAATTTTTACCAACTTACTTTTTTAGAAAGTTGATTTAGCATGACACCTTAAAAATGTCTCAGTTTTCAATGAGAAAACTATTGCAACTGGTTTTCCTCGGGCCCTGAGCTTGACCAGTTTTTCACCGCTCTTTAACGGTGTTTTCCCGGGATAGGCTCACTAACCTTCAAAACAAAGTTAGAGTTATAGAATATTGCGTAATTAGATAAAATCAGAGAAATTAGGCATGCTATTCAAAGTAATACGCAACATTGGCAAAGGTTTTATTCACAAAATTTATTCAACCTTGCTAAAACAAGAAAAAATTACTGATAATACTTCTTCAGATGAACTGCATTCCAAGCCCTTGGGATTGGAGTTCCACTCGGCTTAACGAGTTTAAAAGCTCCATTACCCAAGTCTTTTTGAATCAAATATGGTCCTTCCCAATTAGGGTGTAACTTCCCTTCACGAGAATTGCGCTCTGTGACCTCTGCCTTTCGTAAGACCTAGTCTCCTTGGTGTAAGTCCTTGGGCTAACTTTACTGTTGTAGTACTTCTCCACTCTCCTATGGTAATGGGCAACATGGATTTGGGACAGATCCCTAGCTTCGTCCAAAAGATCCAGATTCTCCCTTAAAGCTTGTTCATTGGAGTTGGCATTAAAGTAGTTCGTTCTGTAATTTGGCACCTTAACTTCAACCGGCACTACAGCTTTTGAACCATATGTTAAATTGAATGGAGTTTCTCCTGTTGAAGTCTTATGTGTTGTTCTGTACGCCCATAGAGTGTATGGCAACTCCTCTGTCCAAGTTCCTTTTGCAAACCTTACCTTCTTCTTTAAACTCTCCAAGATAGCTTTATTTGCTGCCTCTGCCTGTCCATTAGACTCTGGATAAGCTACAGAAGCAAACCTCTGCTCAATTTGCTGTAAACTCAAACCTTCTGTCTCTAATTGTGCTCTGACCGAAAACCTCCTCTCTATCTTTCCTGTTTGGTAGAAATCTTTGAAGGCCTCACTTGCAAATTGCGTTCCATTATTTGTAACCAGAACCCTCAGCATCCCAAACCGACACATAATGTGTTTTTTGACGAACTTTTTTACCTTCTGTTCTGTTATTCGAGCTACTGGTTCTGCCTCAATCCACTTAGTAAAGTAGTCTATGGCCACAATAAGGAACTTTTTCCTTCCCTTAGCCTCGGGGAAAGGACCAAGGATGTCCATCCCCCATTGAGCAAAAGGCTATGGGGCTACTATCATGTGCAAAGGGTTAGCAGGTTGATGCTGGACATGGGCAAATCTCTGACATCTATCACACTTCTTGACATATGCCTTAGCATCAGCTTTCAGTGTAGGCCAAAAATAGCCTTGGCGGAGGATTTTACGTGCTAGAGAATCTGCCGCCATATGACTCGAGCAAAGTCCTTCGTGTACCTCTTCCAACACTACCTGTGCTTCTACAGGCCCTAAACACTTCAATAAAGGATGTGTATAGGACCTACGATAAAGTTGCCTATCAAAAATTGTGTACTAAGCAGCTTTCCTCCGCAATCTTTTAGCTTCTTTTTCATCTTCTGGTAAGATTCTACTTTTAAGGAAAGTGAGAATTGGATCTATCCAGCTTTGCTCCTCCTGTGTTGGCAAAGCATTTTCCATCTCTATACTAGGTGAAGAAAGTGTCTCTATATAAACTTCCACTCCAGACACACCTAGCCCTGTGCTTGCCAGCTTTTCCAAGGCATCGGCTTTAAGGTTCTCTGACCTTCTTACTTGGCTCAACTCATATCCTTGGAAGGATTGTAAAAATTGCATAGTCAGAGATAAATATTGAGCCATTACCTGCTCTGTTGCAATGAAATCACCATTGACTTGATTCACTATAAGTTGTGAATCACTATAAATCCTCAAGTACTCCACTCTTGCTGCCTTGGCAAGTCTCAATCCCCCAAGAAGTGCCTCATACTCTGCACGATTGTTCGACGCCTCAAAATTAAATCTTAATGTACAATTAAAAGTTTCTCCCTCTAAAGAGATTAAGATTATTCCTGCTCCACTTCCTGCTGCATTAGAAGACCCATCAACATATAGGTTCCACACAAGGTTAGAAGGTAGGTTCTTTGTTGGTTTCTTTGGCTCTGGAGCTTTCCTCTTACATGGTACGTCTATGGGTGGTGCCTGCATTACAGCCTTTTCCTCCTTGCTTAACTCTGCTATGAAATCTTCCAGTACTTGTGCTTTCATTGCTCTCCGTGGCTGAAACTCCAGTTTAAACTCTGTGAGCTCAATACTCCACCTTACAAGTCTCCCTGCCAAATCTGGTTTAGCATAGGCCAACTTCTCCAAAGGCTTGTATCTTGTCTCAGCCCCTTGCAACACTTTGCTGACATAATACACAGGCTCCTGCTTGCTTCCATCTTCCCTAACCAATGCAGTACTAATTGCCTCGGTACTCGCAGCAATGTACAAGTACAATTTCTCACCTGGAATGGCCCTGCTCATCAGTGGTGGAGATGATAAGTATACTTTCAACTGATCAAATGCTTTTTGACAATCAGAGGTCCACTCAAAAGTTTTATTGCCACGTAAAGTTTTAAAAATAGGTAGGCATCGTTCTGCAGATTTTGATACGAACCTGCTCAATGCAACTACCTTTCCCATTAGCTTCTGAACTTCCTTTGTTGAGGATGAAGGTTTCATCTCCAACACTGCACGAATCTTCTCTGGATTGACTTCAATGCCCCTGCTTGTCAACATGAATCCTAAGAATTTCCCAACCTTGACTCCAAAAGTGCATTTTGTAGGATTCAGCTTCATGTTATGGGTTTTGAGTACCTCGAAGACTTGTTTCAGGTCTTCAATGTGTTGGTCTAAGCTTTTGCTTTTCACCAAATATCATCCACATAAACTTCAACACATTTACCTTTTAGATATACAAATATCTTATTAACAAACCTTTGATAGGTAGCTCCTACATTTTTTAGATCGAAGGGCATGACAACATAACAATAGGTAGCACCTGCTGCTATGAATGCAGTTTTATCCCGATCCTCCTTTGCCATAGGAATTTGGTTATACCCAGAGTATGCATCACATAAACTCAAAACCACATAACCAGAGGAATTATCAACTAGTTCATCAATATTTGGCAAAGGATAATTGTCTTTGGGACATACCTTGTTTAAGTCTGTAAAGTCCACACACATTCGCCACTTTCCATTGGCCTTTTTCACCATCACCACATTTGATAACCATTCAGAAAAAGTAATCTCTTGAATGAATCCTGCCTCTTTAAGCTTTGCTACCTCTTCTTCAATAGCTACAGTCCTTTCAGCCCCGAAGTGTCGCACTTTCTGTCTAACAGGAACAGCATCTTGGTTAACTCCAAGCCTATGGCAAGCAACCTTTGGATCGATACCTGGCATATCTGCTGGACACCATGCAAAAATGTCTTTATGCTCCCTAAAGCAATTTTCCAATTGCGCCACAAAGCTTGGATCCATGTCTACACCAATGTTGACTGTACGCTCGGGCCTCTTCTCATCAAGAACCACAGGTTTTACTTGGTCAATTGGCTCAGTTCGACATTCCTTCAATTCCTCCCTCATGTCTAGGCTGTCTACTGTCAGAGTTTTTTCCCTGACAATATCTCCAAGAGCCACCAGATCCCAATGTTTTGACTTGTACTTTTTCTTAGTCACTTTTTTAGGTTCTGATGTTTGCACTTGGTCTTGAGCTTGTGGTGTTCACTCCACTACTTCAACAGGCTTCCCTCTTGCCATTCCAACTCCATTTGGCGTAGGGAACTTTATCATCATTGCTTGTGTAGAGACCACCGCTTACAAGGAGTTAAGCCCAGGACGTCCCAAAATTGCATTAAAAGAGGAAGGGACATCAATAACAAAGAAATCTAAGGTAACAACAACCACACAAGGGGAAACACCAACATGAATAGGGAGAGAGATAATACCTCTTACATGCACGGATTTTCTAGAAAGGCCCACCAACGGAAAATCACAAGGTCTCATCAGTTGTGGAGATACTCCTAGCTTTTTGAATGCCCCATAACACATCACATCTCTGCAACTCCCTGTGTCCACCAAGACACGCTTCATCACCTTGCCCTTTCGTAGATTTCTATCTTCCACCACTATTTCAATCATTAGTGGATCATGTGGGAACACCTCCCTTTGATCCAGATCCTTCCCAGTGAAAGTGATGGTTTGAGTTGAAGGTGGGCTTTCATTGCTTCCTTTGACTGCTAAAGCCATAGATGTTGGAGTTGCTGAAGGCGGGACTGTTATAACATTAATTACCCCCACAACATCTAGAGGTTCCTTCTCTTTATGCCTACCAGCTTCCCTATTGTCTTGTGACCTTTCCATTCTCCTTGCTCCCCTCTGGCTTCCTGGATGCCCGACAAATTGCCTCAATGCTCCCCTACAAATTAATCGTTCAATTTCCATTCTGAGCTGCTTACAATCCTCTGTATCATGACCATGGGTCCCATGAAATGCACAATGACGAGTCTTATCACGCTTGTTACCATTACTACGAAGCTTTTCAGGCCAATTGAGGTGTTATGTCTCCTTCGCCACTACAAGTATATGCGCCATTGAGGTGTTTAAAGGTGTGAATGTGGTATACACCCTTGGCGCCTCTTGCAATGTAGAGCGATAATTCTTGAGATTTCTACCAACTCCTCGCTTTCCTCCTCTGACATCAGCTATGTCATTTGACCTGTCAAACCTTCGCTTTTTATCTCCTGCTACAACTGAATTAGGTTCGAAAGACTCACCACCTTTCTTGGCTACAACACGTTCTTCGGCTCGAATATAGCCTTCTGACCTGTGAAGTATGTCCTTAAGGCTCTTTGGTTTTTCTCTATTTAGAGAGTGCAAGAAATCACAATCTTTCAAGCCATTCATCAAGGCATGCATTGCCATTCCTTCATCCAGATTATCCACCTGCAGAGATTCATTATGGAAACGAGCGATGTAGGCCCTTAAACTTTCATTAGTCTTCTGCCTGATACTCATTAAATGGTGGTTAGTCTTCTTCGGGACTTTGCTAGCAGTAAAATGGTCAATAAAACATCTTTCTAATTGCTCAAAAGAGTTAATAGACTTAGCTTTCAATTTAAAGTACCAGGTTTGAGCTGCTTTCTTCAGTGTAGAAGGGAACACTCTACACAATAATGCATCAGACGCTCCATAAATCATCATTGCTAGCTTGTAACTTCTCACATGCTCTATCAGGTCTTGTGTTCCATCATACTGTGTCAACTGAGGTGGCTTGAATGATGGAGGCATGGGTTCTTTAATTATCTCGTCAAAGAATGGATCACCTATAGAGGCTATTTGTGGAGCATCTGTTGCTTGTTGTTGTGCCGTGCGCAACTCTTCCATTTGTTGGCGCAAAGTTTCCATGTCCTTTTGCAGAGTTTCATTTCGCTCCCTAAGGGAGTCCCGTGTGCGACTTAATTGCACCTTGCAGTTTGTGATCACTGTTTTATCCTCCAAATTGGCCTGTGTAGGTTCATCACCCCTAAAGTGATGCTGGGCTTGGACTTTACTTGCTGACTCGGGAGTATTTGCACTCGTAGAGCCTCGGGTCCAGGTGTGTGATACATGTGCCAACCTGCAAGGACGGAAGTTCCAATGTGGGACTGAAAAAGCCGAGGTTGGTTCGAGAGTGTTGATATTGTCTGCACTCGTTGACCGTTGTGATGGGACATAGTTAGGATCGTTCTCCCGTGTTTCCACATTTGAACCTTCTCTTTGCACCACGGGGAACAAAATATCCTGTGATTGGTGGATGCGTCGTTGATTTCTGAATATTTGTGATGAAGAATACCTCCTTGGTGGTACACGAGCCCAATGTGCACGAACCGGCGACAAATGTAATTGGCCATGGTTTTATGTTAGAAGCGTTACTGCTTGCTCAATTGCGTGCACACTTCTTTCCATTTATGCCATATTCTGGGTGAGGTGTTGAATTTGATCCTCTACTGTATTCCCATGCCTAGAAAGACCTAATCTCTGGACTTGTCGAGTAGAATTTCGTGAAGACGAAGATGGGGTTGTAGTGGACCTTGCACCATAACGATTCTGTCGATTAGTGGCCATTGCTTAATTGTAAGGGTTCACCGTGAGCAACAATCGGGCCCCACGGTGGGCGCCAAATGTTAACACTGAAAAATAATTTAAAGGACCCAATCAATTGGAGTCACCAGGATTTCATTAATGGAAGAAGAAAATACAGAGTTTGGGATTCAGTCTCCCTTTTGCTATTCCCTGAGGTATTTTTTAGGTTAAAACCCCTTTTTGGTCCCTGGACTATTGTACGGACCCCCGATTTGGTCCCTGAACTAAAAAAATTCCTGATTTGGTCCCTACTGTTTACCATTTTTACCCCGATTTGGTCCTTCCGTTAAAAATTGTGTGACGGTTACC